TTGACTTCTACTCTCACTCAATAGATGGACTCTTCAAGTCATTTTGAGGTCCTTGATATAATGAAAAAAGTAGTAGTTAGCTGGAGAGATGGGTTGTGGTGGTTTAGTCCCTAAGTTGTGTCTGACTCTTGTGACCCCATGGACAGTAGCCCACCAGGCTCCTCTGTTTTCGGTATTTCCCAGGCAAGAATACTGGAATGGGTTGCCATTTCCTTCTCCAGGGGATCTTCCTGACCCAGGGATCAAATCCATGTCTCCTGCATTGCAGGCAAATTCTTTACCACTGAGCCACCAGAGAAGTTCCTGGTGTGTGGATCACAACAAACTGTGGAAAATTAAAGAGATGGAAATACCAGACCACCTTACCTGCCTCCTGAGAAACCTGTATGTAGGTCAAGAAGCAACAGTTAGAACTGAACACGGAACAACTGACTGGTTTAAAATTGGCAAAGGAGTATGACAAGGCTGTATGTTATATTTAAAGTCTGTGCAGAGTACATCATGCAGAATGCCAGGCTGGATGATTTACAAGCTGGAATGAAGATTGCGGGGAGAAATATCAGCAACATCTCAGATTTTCAGGTGATACCACCCTAATGGCAGAAAGCGAAGAGGAACTAAAGAGCCTCTTGATGAGGGTGAAAGAGGAGAATGAAAAAAACTGGCCTAAAGCTCAACATTAAAAAAACTAAGATCATAGCATCCAGTCCCATCACTTCTTGGCAAACAGAAGGGGAAAAGTGGAAACAGTGATGAATTTTATTTTCTTGGGTTCCAAAATCACTGCAGATTGTGACTGAAATCATGAAATTAAAAGACGCTTGCTCCTTGGAAGGAAAGCCATGACAAACCTAGATGGTGTGTTAAAAAGCAGAAACATCACTCTGTCTACAAAGGTCTGTATAGTCAAAGCTGTGACTTTTCCAGTAGTCGTGTGCTGAGCACCAAAGAACTGATGCTTTCGCATTGTGGTGCTGATGAAGATTCCTGAGAGTCCCTTGGACTTCAAGGAGATCCACCCAGTCCATCCTAAAGGAAATCAACCCTGAATATTCATTGGAGGAACTGATGCTGAAGTGAAACTCCAATACTTTGGCCACCTGCTGTGATGAGCTGACTCATTGGAAAAGACCCTGATGCTGGGAAAGATAGAAGGCAGAAGGAGAAGAGGGCAGCAGAGATTGAGATGGTTAGATAGTGTCACCAGCTTAAAGGACATGAATTTGAGCAAACTCCAGGAGATACTGAAGAGAGCATGGCAAGAATCTTTTATTAATTTATCTTTACCAAATGTAACTCCCAAGTACAAAACAGCCCAGGGGTTTTCCTTATAGTATGCATATTGTCAACAGATGAGGTGGAATAAGAATTGGAGTTAGATCAGCCCAATTTAGGCCCTCAGGGATCTTCTGAGAATAACTTGGGCCTAATTTAGGACTTCTGGATTGCTGATAGGAAACCTTTCAAGTTTACTAAGGAGTTGGGCTAGCAGAGTTTTGAGAACTGCAGGCCAATCCTAGAGATTCTACATAGGCAATATTATGCTGCTGTGAAAGTCTGAACCTATATTTGGCCATCTCCATTAAAGCCGTATAAGAAGGAGACATTATAGATCAACTATACGCCAATAAAAATTATTTTAAAAAAAGAAGATGGAACTCACCACCATTCTCTCCACCTTCAGGTAATGAAGTGAAAGTGATACCATGTGTTTTTTTCTGAAGGTGTCGACAGAGACGGGAGATCTGTATGTAACTAGCTGACAATCTCCTGCTAACAATATTGATCATCGTATTGAGGATTCCCTGGGGCTGCTCACTGTTACAGTGCTTTTCATACATTGTTCACTTAATTCTCATAAGCACGTGTGACAGACACTGTGTCTCCATTCATTGATAAGGAAACTCAAACAGGGAGAGTTAAAGTAATCTGCCCAAGGTCGTAGGCAGGACGTGGCCGAGTAAAAGCTGAACTCAGGCCCTCTGGCTACAGAGTGCATGCTTTGAACAGTTTGTTCTGCCTCTCCTGAATAGTACCACGCTGGTGGCAGCTGACACTTCACCCATAGTAGGTGCTCAATGAACCTTTATTGACTAACTGACCCTTGGGCCAATGGGGAACTCTCCTTGATTTGCTAAAAGGTGGACTAACCCTAAAATGTGCAATCAGATAGTGCTTATGTAGACGGCTGATCTGTGCTTTTCCTATCGGGGATGGAAATCTTGTGGATCTTGGGAAATGTTCTTAATCTTAGAACTAAAAAGTTCTTTGCGGGGGGGGGTCACATATCCCTTAATAACCACATAAAATCCTCTCCATGTGAAAATGCTCACAGAAAACTTTTTACTTAATATGTCTTGGATTGTTTAGATCTCTAGAACCTTCCAGGAATAACTGCAGTAGTTTTTGAAGAATACCTCCGAATTTTGAATGTTGCTATACCTTTCACTTTCAAGTGATTTACACGATTGCTTAATTCTGAGAAAAAGGTATTCGCTTTTTACTGAGGTAGTTGCTTTTATCTTGCTCCTCCAGGGGAAAGCTTCGTGCCAGTGTTACAGTTGGCTGTGGCCGCTAGCGGGATGCCTGGTAACGACACAGTTTGTGCATTCCTTGGCGGGGCTCCAGAAAGGCAGAGGGCTCTGCTGGGGAGAGGATGTGTGAGCTCCAGGTTTCGGACAGGAACATTACTGATGATGCCCCTGCTGAAAGTCCCCATTATTATCATGACAAATGCTGGAGAACAAAGGGACCACTGTCAGAACAGAGGGCTATCTGTTATTGCTAATTGAATATTTCGGATTATGGTATTAAGTTACTATAGCATGCCTGTTGGGGCATGAGTTCATTCAGGCGACTTCTCGTAGGATGGGAACCATGTTGGACATGTTCACACACTCATAAGCCTCCTTTATCTGAGTTATGTTGAACGACAGCTGCAAATTGTAGCCATTGATTTGAAGAGTTTGGTCTTCTGGGTGGAGGGATAGAGGTGAAGCATGTAGGAAAAATGGCATGAATTTTAAATCTTTTTTACATTTAAGTTTCTCTGAAGGAGGATGTAATTTGAATTAACGTGAAGGCCTTCCATGAGACTAGAAGCATAAACATGATTTGTTGTTGGAATCAGTGTTTTTCAGACTAGACATATTCCACAAGTTTGAGGAATGAGTAGTTGCATCCTTTCTGTGAAACCCCGCCAATTTTTGCGCACAAAGAGGGGCTGTAGGATGAGTGGAGACAAGGCTGGATGGAGGGGTTAAGACCTGGTCTCAGGTCCAGGGCTGAGCACCCATTGTGCCGCCATTGATGTTTGAGATCTTCAGGAGGAAACGACCTCCTTGAGCCTCAGCCACAAGGAAGAAAGGTTGAGCTGTTGGGTCCTTGTCAGTTCCAAAATGCAATTATTTTATGAAGAGGCAAGTTTTCAAGTTTTTGTTGTGGTCTTGAGGCATCTGGTCCCATCACTTCATGGCAAATAGATGGGGAAACAGTGGAAAGAGTGTCAGACTTTATTTTTCTGGGCTTCAAAATCACTGCAGATGGTGATTGCAGCCATGAAATTAAAAGACACTTACTCCTTGGAAGGAAAGTTATAACCAACCTAGACAGCATATTGAAAAGCAGAGACATTACTTTGTCAACAAAGGTCTGTCTAGTCAAGGCTATGGTTTTTCCAGTTGTCATGTATGGATGTGAGAGTTGGACCATAAAGAAAGCTGAGCACCAAAGAATTGATGCTTTTGAACTGTGGTGTTGGAGAACACTCTAGAGAGTCCCTTGGACTGCAAGGAGATCCAACCAGTCCATCCTAAAGGAGATAATTCCTGAGTGTTCATTGGTAGGACTGATGTTGAAGCTGAAATTCCAATACTTTGGCCACCTGATGAGAAGAGCTGACTCATTTGAGAAGACTCTGATACAGGGAAAGATTGAGGGAAGGAGGAGAAGGGGACAACAGAGGATGAGATGGTTGGATGGCATCACCAGCTCAATGGACATGGGTTTGGGTGGACTCCGGGAGTTGGTGATGGACAGGGAGGCCTGGCGTGCTGCAATTCATGGGGTCACAAAGAGTCGGACACGACTGAGCGACTGAACTGAACTGAACTGAGTTGCTCCAGAGAGCTTGACTCTGACAGATGGACTCCCTGAAAGCTGTGTTCCGTGCTGCATTTGTGAGGGTGTAGGGCTTCTGAGTGAACCACAGTATCTGGGACGCACACTGGGATTATTCCACCAAGAAATGAACTCAGTGCTTGGAATTCACTCTTGAATTTCTCTGAATTTCACATTCAGGAGCAAGAATACAACATTCTTGATTTATTTTGTGCTTTCCCTTTGCTGTGTGATGGATATTCAGATGATAATTCAGGTAATATGACCCATGCCTCTGAGTTTTCTCCCCAAAAGTCAGTGTTAATTATTTTCTTGTTTTATTTTTGTAACAATAATTATTTTCTTTTATACAGGAAATTTTGAGAGGCATTTGGGTCAATTGATTTTAAGATAACCTAACAGAAAGGTCCTTGTTTAGCTGAAATATTTGCTTATTTAAGCCACTTCATTTTCATGAGCCTAAATGTCCCAAATATCAACTTCCTGCATCATGACTTGCAGACATTCTAGGCAGCCTACAGCCAAAGCACAGGGTGGAATATTTAGCAAAGAATATAGAAGAAAAAGTAAACTAAATCAGCTTTTATTGTACTTATGCTTTCAAAAAGCCAGAGATATGCAGCATACTATATTCTGATGCTAACATGTGCTGCTTTGAGGGGAAAAACATGAAATTATTAATGATGTTAATGCAAGTTATCTGAATTTCATATTAGATTTTGGTGTTTTGGTTCAAAATCAAAATTATAGCCATCGCAAAATTTGAATATATCGGAGGAACTTTCATTTGCAAAGCTACATAATGATAAATGTTTTTATTTCTTTTCGTAACTGGCTAGTGGTGATTTTGTGGATCCTTTCTCTTAAGATTAGGATTTTGATCACATTCTGGTCTCCTCTAGAGGTCGGTTCATGAAGTCTTGAATAACCTGGTGCAAAGGAAGCCATTTTTGGATGGACATTCTCAGAGCTGTAATCCAGCTGTGGAGGTAATAGTTCAGGACAGGTCATTAAAAAAATGTTCTCTAGGGAGATGAAATGTTATAAAGTCTTTTGATTTATTTTACAGCTGTTTCTTTTGGATATTTACTTTGAAATTCATATAGTAAACCATGATCCTCACATTTTGGATTGAACAAAAAGATAAAACACCAGAAGAGAAATACGCAGTGGTAACTATGAAGTAAAGTTAGTATAAATAATAGGAGCAGAAGACAGTATAACAAAACTACAGGACTTTAAAAATTATTACTAGTATTTTACTGTTTCTCTCTAAAGTTTAGTTGATCAAATGTACAGTAATCAAACATTGCTGTTAGGGCCAAATAATCCTTTGTCACATTGTGGAAGCCAATGCAAACTCTCTAGTTAGATCTTCCCTCTCATCTTCTCCATTCCTTTCATTTTCTTGGATAATGTATTATAAAATTTGCCTATATAATGTTGATTCTAAGAGTGCTTAATAGGCATTGTTTTAGTAAAATGGTTTGAGTCAGATAGCTTGCGCAGTGGGAGTTAAGGGGGGTCAGCCAGGACACCTTCCAGCAGTGTGTCTCAGAAACACGAATTAATATACTTTGTGATTCTCTGAGAGGCGAATATGATTTCTATCATTTCTTAGATTTATTTTACTACTTTTTGCGAGGGGGCTATATTTTGGAACCAGAGTCCCAAAAACCACACTTTGAAACTCTTGCCCTTCTACTTTGAAATATTTCTTTAATGACTTAATATTGCTTCCTCTTAAGAGATAATATGCACTCATGGATTTGGCGGTGAGATCTAACTATTTAACTTTCTATCTTCAAGAAGCCATAAATTTTATCAGCTAGGAGTTAACTCTGTTTCACTGGCCCTTTTTCTAATATGCCTGCTGGAGCTCGCCTTCAAAGGACGATCTTAATCTGCTACCGGATTATACAGCACAAGTCTGAGGAAGATCTTGGGAAATATCTAGCAATTCTCTAGTCATTGTTCTCCTATCTAGCCCTTGCTTAGGGGTTAGTGGGACAGGAAGGTTACATAATGGGGGAAGGCCTAGGGAGATCCTTTTTCCCTTTTCCAAATGGTCACTTGCTAGAGATTCCTAAAACTCTATTTTGGGAGTTTTATCTCTTTGGGTTGAATCTCGTTCTTACAAATGGCCCTGAAAGTTTTCCCCTTTCCTTTTTTTTAATAAGTCACTGTAAACTTCTTGATTAGATCTCTTTTATGCAGGCAGCTGGAAGAAAGTGTCTGGATGGTCACCAGCAGTTGAGGGTAGGAATGGGAGATGGTGAACACTGAGTGTCTTGGGGATTGCAGTTAGGTCAGGGAGACTTGGGTGACGGAGGAAGATCCTCTAAGTACCTCCTCTGCTTCTTGGTTTTGTCTCCATTAGCTTTCCTGCTGGTTTTTTTCAGAATCATTATGAAACAAGTGCCCATTTGTGCATACCAAGTTGGACACTGAACATATCAGTTTAGATGGCTAAGTCCTATGCCCTTCAACGGCTTATTACAAAACCAAGCATCTGACCAGATGGATATATCAGTAAGAGTTAAGCAAAATGTGGTAAAACAGCCAAACTGTGAATAAATTAATATTTTATTTAATAATAAATTAATATTTACAGGTTATAGTGTTAGTGAATATTTTATATTGAAACCTGAGTTAGCTACTGCCTTGGGGAGAACTGTGGACTCCTTTTTCATTAAAAAAAAAAGAAAAACAACTTCTAGAAGAATCCTTTTCTGTGTATTGAAAGAAAAAAATCCTAAGGAATATTAACTATAGGGACTATACAAAGAAAGGGGAATATTTAGTGGAAGATGTAGAGCCGAGGTTGGAAAATGAATATAGGGGTTTGCTTATAAAGCTATTGTCAGGACCGACAAAGAACATGTACATAGATCTTGACTTACCGTTGATTTTCTGTCTCATTTTCTGCACAGAAATAGAAAGTCTTAAATTCTTCAGATGGAGGCTTGAGTTCAATTACTGATTGCTTGACACTAAGGGTCTGCTCATTCACCCTGTATCCTTGTAGATAAAGGCCACCTACAGAGGGTGAAAGGACAAAGCAAGTGAGGAGCTTATTCCTTATTCCTTATTGAAAGAGTAAGGTGGAGAAAAAGGCTGACAAGGTGTCAAGAAAATTTTGTCTCCAAATGAACCTCTAGTCCAGGTGTCTCATTTTATAGATGAAGAAATGAGACTCCAAAAGATATATAATATAATATATAATTTAAGGTTATCCACTAATTATTAATGGCAAGACGGGAACAAAGTTTGGATTTCCTGTTCTTTTCATTTTTACAGTCTTTTCATTACATGTTCAATATTTAGCTTCGTGTTACTGTGGACCTAAAGCAGCTTTTTTTTTTTTTTTTTTAGTGTGTTCCTGGAGGACACATTTTGAAATACATGTCTTGGTATCAAAGATTGATTGACAGCTACAAAATTACATTCGAGGAAAAATTAAATAGTATCTGCTTGGACAGAACCATTAAGACATCCTGAGGAGTAACAAAGATTGCCAGAGGTTTCTAGGATCAACATAGATTCTCACCTTTGTGCAAATGCAAAGCACTTTTAAAATATGAACCCACAGGGTGATATGAGGGAGCCGACTTGAATTAAAATGAAAATAAATGACCAGTTTTTCAAGATAATTTCTTTCCCATGGTCTTTTGATGCTATCTTATAGTTATATATTGCTTGGCCAGAATTTTGTTTACATTATTCAGGAGTTGGGGTTGGAGGGGGAAGACATCAGTGTAGGAGAAGGTGCTGAAAAGTCAAAACACTTATTGTTTATGGTGTCTTGATGTTCTGAGGTAACCTGATGCAGATTCTCTAGGTCATATCATTAATAGTGATGATTAGATTTTAATTCTCTTTCTCGTAATTGCTAACTCTTTTTCTCCCCAAACCCACTGCCCTAGAAGCCACTTTAGTGAGCTATGTTCTGTGCTTGCTCAGTTGTGTCCGATTCTTTGCAACGTCATGGGCTGTAGCCCACCCGGCTCCTCTCTTGCCCATGTAATTTACCAGGTGAGAATACCGGAGTGGGTTGTCCTTTCCTTCTACAAAGGATCTTTCTGACCCAGGGATCCAGCTAGTGTCTCCTGCATTGGCAGGCAGATTCTTTACCACTGAGCCACCTGAGAAGCCTGCTTCGTGTACCATACTAACAAAGAAAATGCCAAAATGCAGCTTGGATTTTTGCTACACTACAGGATAAGCATTCTACGCTGGTATGATAATAAGGACTGTGAAAGGAAAATCTGACTCATTTTTGTTTTTCTTTTGGCTACACGTGATACCAACATACATGGTCAGAAAGTCACAAGTTTTTCTTTTTTAAGCAGAATGAGTGGCTTTTGGACTTTGAAATTGTTTACTTTATAGAGGGGGTTTAGATGTAATATTAAAGTCTTTTAAAATTTTTATTTAAAGAGTCCATTTTAGAACTAATCTCTAGGAAAGCATTCATTTTAGAAATGGCTAGAGGTTTTTCTTTTAGTAGGACCCAGTCTATTGGCATTTACTAAACTCAGAGAATGCCTTCTATCTTTGATAGACATAAAACAACTTTACTGACATATTATTTACACACCACAATATTTGTCTATTTACAGTATACAATCACTGACTTTTAGTGTGTTTATGAAGTTGTGCAACCATCACCATAACCTAATCTTGGAACATTGAGTTAGTGCCCCAAAAAGAAACTCCACACCCATACTCACTTCCCATCTGTTTCCCCCCTCTAACCCTAGGCAATCCTAACTGACTTTCTGTCTCTATAGATTTCTTTTTCCTGAGACACTTAATATAAATGGAGTTATACAGCATGTGATCTTTTGTGACTGGCTTATTTCACTTGGCCAGTTTTCAAGGCTCACTCGTGTTGTATCATGTATTGTACTTCATTTCTTTTTGTTGCTAAATGATATTTCATTGTGTGGATGAACAGCATTTTATTTATCCATTTGTTAGTTTGGACATTTGAGTTTTCCTCCATTTTTTTGGCTATTATGAATAACATTGTTATGAATATTCATGTGCACATTTTTCCATAGATGTATGTTTTGGGGATATATACTGGATGTAGAATAAGCAATCTGCTGGATATTTCAGGACTATAGGATACCTAAGGAGATATCTGAGGGTATTTTGCTGTTTTAATTCCCTGCTCCAAACAGTAGCACATGGCATTTTTATTATGTACTGGTTTTTACCTTCTTCCTGCTTATATTTCCTTTTCTCATATGTCTGAGCAGATAAGAATACCTTCCTCCATCCCTACCCATTCTGAGAATAGACAGACAGCCATGTCCAAAGCTGTCTACAACAAACAGGAAAGTTTCTGACCCCTTCGCTAACCAGTTATAGGGTAGGAATGATCAGCATAAAAGCCATCCAGTTATAACCCCATTACCCCATTTCAAGTGACCTCATTGGGCTGGTCGCTATCTTTCATTGGGTGGCAGCAATAAATAATAAGCTAACACAATGTTTGCACATAGATTTCTCATAAGAACTATATATTTGTTGCAATAATGTAAAATATATCTGAGAAGTGCATACAGACCTTGATGTGATTTATTTAACAATAATGGGATGGGGAGGGAGGGTCAGGATGGGGAACACATGTACACCCATGGCTGATTCATGTGGATGTATGGCCAAAACCACCACAATATTGTAAAGTAATTAGCCTCCAATTAAATTAAAAAAAAAAACAATAATAGTTAACAGTCACAATTTGTTCCAGCTCTTGCTAGAGAGAGGTAAAAAGAAAAAAAATATAAAGTGTACAGTGAATGACAAGGGGCTTCAGGTCTAGGAAGAGGCATTTGACTGAAAGGCTTCTGGAATTATCACAGTGGTTTTTCAACATTAGCAGGCATAGGCCAGCCAGTTGTACATATTGTTAAAGTACTAGCAGTTTCCTGAAGGCTGAGAAAAGACCTCAAGGATCTAACTGATGGGGGCTGTTTTTCTAACTCCCAAGGTATACATTTGAGACATATTCAGCTGAAAGTAAAATGTGGGACCAGGGCATCCCAGGTGGGCTCAGTAATAAAGAATCCATATGCCAGTTCAGGAAACATGAGTTCAATCCCTGGGTCAGGAAGCTCCCCTGGAGCAGGAAATGGCAACCCACTCCAGTATTCTTACCTGGGAAATAAAAGAACAGAGGAGCCCGGCGGGTAACAGTCCATGGGGTCGCAAAAGAGTTGGGCACGACTTAGCGACTAAACAGCAAAAAATGTGGGACGAGCATCTAACAGGGTTTCTACAGGCAACCCTCGCATGGCTAGCATGGCCCTCAAGGCTTCTCTTTCCCCTCGCTTCGCTCTCATCTCCTCCCTGTCTCCTTTTTTTTTTTTCCCTGTCTCCTCTTTTTTGTCCTCTGTATTCTCTCAGCATCTCAAGTGTCTGTCAGAAGGACTGAGCCAAGCCCCCAGGACTCCTTGCGTGCATGTTGTCACTTCATCATGTCTGACTCTGAGACCCCGTGGACTGTAGCCCGCCAGTCTCCTCTGTCCATGGGAGTCTCCAGGCAAGAATTCTGGAGTGGATTGCCATGCCCTCCTGCAGGGGATCTTCCCGACCCAGGGATCAAACTCACATCTCCTGCATTGGAGGTGGATTCTTTACCACCAAGTCACCAGGGAAGCCCCCCGGCCCCAACACTATGGATACCTTCAGAAAGAAGAAATATCATATGAAGTCTCCCAGATTAGCTAATGAAGAACATAAATCAATGGGATAAAGTAAACAATAAAATAAGTGAAATAAGACAGTAAAGCAAGTGAGGTGCTCCAGCCAGGGGAGAATGCTAGAGCCAGGGGACAATGTTATTAAGATTTAGCCTTCTTACAAAGAAGGCATGTTGCAAAGATGATAGAAAGTAAAGAACCTTCCTTAAATACTCTGTTTCTAAGATTCTGAACACAGAAGTCAACCATTTAAACAAGCATGTATGCAGAGAGTTTCTGTACATTAGTATTTTTCCACCTTTTTGGGCTGTGATCTAAAGATGTAATAAATATAGACCTCTACATGTTTTAAAGCAATTAAACCAAAAGTTTGTGAAACATTGAGATGTACCATGATATTTTCTACTATATTAAATTCTAGTGTTTTTTAGAATTTTGGGGGGCTTCCCTGGTGACTCAGACGAAAAGAGTCCGCCTGCAATGCAGGAGACCCAGGTTTGATCCCTGGGTTGGGAAGATCCCCTGGAGAAGGGAATGGCAACCCACTCCAGGATTCTTGCCTGGAGAATTCCATGGACAGAGGAGCCTGGTGGGCTACAGTCCATGGAGTTGCAAAGAGTCTGACATGACTGAGCGACTGTCACTTTCACTTTCATTGTGTTTTAAATACTGGTCCACAGCTTGCTACATTGATTGCGTGACTCAGTAATCACATATGCAGGATCAAAGCCTGCATTTTGATAAATACTGCTATAAATGGTAATCAAGGCCTACTTCAAGGTTATGACCTTCAGAGGGCCGGAGAACTAGGAACCAAACCAGGGTAGGATGTGCAAGAAGAGCCAGGCAGAACTTGAAAAATATAAGTAAAGAAGGCATCATCAATCAGCCCGGCACAAAGGTCGTTTCTTTAGTGTCATCTAGAGGAGAACGAGCTTTAGAACTCTGTGTTATCTTTATCAATATAATAATAATCTGTACTCCATGCTTGTAAAATGATCAAGCCAAACCAACCATTTTAGTGCATGTGGTGTTCCCTTACAATACGGTTTCAGTCATTCTCAATGACTTGTCTATCATGTCAGGGTGCTGACGCTCAGAGTGCAGTATTATCCTGATCGGGTGCGAGCACCACTTTCAGAAGGCTAGCTTCCACCAGGGAGTGCTGCCCAGAACGTTCAGGCACAGGAGGCAGACAGCATCTGTCGCAGTTTGTCTGTGTCACCCAGTAGCTGGCTGACCAAAGGCATGCTAACTTCTCTCAGCCCTCGTTGCGCACTTGTGATGGGACAGCAGCAGTAGATGTCTTGCAAATGCTCGTTTTAG